GTCTAAGGACCGAACCTCTAAAAATATTTTACTATCACAAACTTAAGGATCGAGCTCATTTCAAACAGGTTCAATAAGCCTAAGGGTCGAACCTTTCTAAATATTTTATGCTCATAAATCTAAGGGTCGAGCTAATTTCAAATAGGTTCAACAAGTTTAAGCACCGAACCTTTAAAAACTATGCTCACCTAAGGGTCGAGCTAAATCCGTAAGTTCAACAAGCCTAAGGGCCGAACTTCATGAAATCTTTTATGCTCATAAACCTAAGAGTCGAGCTGTTTTCATCAACCTACTTAAATGGTTGAGAATTAAAAATAGGTTCAAAAAGCCTAAAGGCCGAACTTTTAAAATCTTTATGCTCATAAACCTAAGGGTCGAGTTAAAATCCATAGGTTCAACAAGTCTAAAGATCGAGCCTCTGAAGCTTCTATACTTATAAACCTAAGAGACGAGTTAAAATCAATTCGTTTAAAAGGACAAAGGTTCATAAACCTAAGGATTGAGCTCCTTTGAGCAATCTAAATGATTGAAACAAGAAAAATAAAGGAAAACGATGAACATGAATGCAAAACATGTTCAAAAATATTACAATGAATTTATTGTGTGACAGTCACACAACAAATTTGTTAGGAGGGAATTGTTCATTAAAAATGATGATGAATGAAATAGAGAAATTGTGAAAGATACGAAGCAAGATATTTGCTGCCGAGTCGAGTCCTACCTCAAGCAGTTTGTTTCCAAATGAAGTAACTCTCTGTTCAAATGAAGACAACCACTTTCTCACTTCCTTAAAACCACTGGTAGGAACGATAAGTGGATTCATTCGGACTCATCCGTTCACTAGTCGCTCGGTATTGCACGCAGACGAAGAAAGCTAAAGCCCAAGCAACCGACCATTCCCTTACTTCCACTAAATCCCTCCGCCTGCTCGCCTGACGCTAATTCGACCGAACACCGACCCTTCCTTTGTACTGTCAAATCAGCACCCCACGCCGGCCTACCTCCATATGACGACTCGTCCTTCTGACACTCCAGCTTTCACCTCTCACGCATCCGACCCACGTCAGATCGACCCTCATAGTTCCTGCTTTGTTCGAAATTCACTACAAAGTGTGCATATAGGATTCCTAAAGGAAAAGGCATAATAATTTGGTTGATTTAAAGATAGTAGTTAAAACTATATTTTCACATGCTAAATGATTACATTAAGTAATTAAAATGAAATTTAATATAATTTGATTAGTGAACAAGTTATTTTTGAAAACCTCGCGTTGTTGATTTTAAATAAGCTAAAATTTTGAAGACCTACGCCATCGATTTTAGATCTGGGCAAATGGTTTTAAAATTTGAATACCCCGGGCCGTAGTATCTTAGATCCGACCGGGATGGTCCCAAATCGAAGATGAAACAAAAGAAATAGAGGAGATGAAACAAATTCAGGAGGTGCAATGATCATCTTCTCTGTCGTCACTTCCCTGAGATTCACACATAGGCTCCTGCTCATTTTTCTTCTAATTTTTATCTCGATATGATCATTGCACCTTCTGAATTTGTTTCATCTCCTCTATTTCTTTTGTTAGAGCAGGAACCCTCTAGCTAACCGTTTCTTCAACTCCAATAGCATTATAAAATGCTGAGATGGATGTATTGCTCTCAATAGTAGATCCCTGTGAACTTAAGTCATGAACCCTTCCCTTATGGTCTTCCTCCAACAACTTTTGACCACGTGTGGTACTCAGAGTTCTAGGTCGATCTTGAAGATGATCTCTCACCAGTAGGCGTTTGACTCTCCCGAAGTCGTATAAAATCATCCTACGAGAAGAAATCTCTTCTTGGATAGTCATGCGGATGTTGACTTAATAATCCTAAAATAAAAATATATATATTCAAAGATTTTTTGCTTGTGTTGAGTCTCTATTTTAATCTACATCAAAGTACTAAGATTCAACAATGAAAGTGAATATATTTGACATGAAGCTCGTGGTTTTCTTTAAAAGGAATTACATTTTAGATATAATGTCCTTAAAAACCTAAATTATATGATTTTGTTGAATGTAAAAATGACCACCTTTTAAATGTTTAAACTTTATTGCCGAAATCTTCAATTTCTTCTAAACTATGGATTGAAGCATTGTGCATGGTGATCTATATAGTTAATAGATTTCCCTCTCATATATTAGAGGGCATTTTCTAAAAAATGATGATAAGGATCATGGAGAGGGCATTTGCATCTCAGAAATATCTCCAGAGAATGCTAGAGAGGTATGCATACGATTTTGCATGGATATGGCTTGAGACATGAAATTTATCTACGATCTTTTTTTCGGTTCTGACTTTGATGAGGAAAGTTTCTAAAAAAGAAATCTTATGCTTGGCTACAACAACTAGATTTCCATAGCTTATTTAAAGCTATAGAGCATGTTGGAAGCTAGGTAATAATTGGATTCTATGATTACTTTCACTCAAGGGCTTGATTGTGTTTGGGCTATGAAAATTCAGGAGAATCAAGTTAGAAAGATTGTTTTGAATGAGGGATTCTTGTTGAGTGTCACATATGTAATAACAACAATAAGGCCATTGGCTCAGTGGTCAAAGAATATGGTATTTTTAAGCTATTGGATATTACCTTATCCTCAATTTCAATATTCCAAGAATAAATTAATCAATCTTGAGATCAAGTTGGGACTATACTATTATTTGAATAGATTGATTGTTGATTCAATTGAGAGGGAAATGTTGTTATGAAACTTACACCATTTAGAAAAAGTGAAGATTTCTTTGGATTATAAGAGGCTACAAATACCGTTGTAAAACATTCTCTAGGAAATTTTTAATGTTTTATGCCTTGATTAAAATAAGGCATTATTCTAACTACACTTTTTTCTTTCATGTTTTGTTGAAAGGTGGATCTACTTTGGTGATAGCACTCTAGAGCTATAGTGTTTACTAATAGAGTGAGACTAACATGCTCGCCATCTGGATATGGTGCAATTTTAACACATATGATCAAGTTTGCATAAGAAAGAAAAACTATCTAACAACCTTAAGGATGATCTCTTGCAGAGGGAAAGGTAGAAGAGCAAGCAAGGAGAGGAGATCACCTGAGGCTAGGGAGATGAGGATGGGCGGAAGGTTGGTTGGAGCTGTAGTTACGAGGGGGACTAGGAAGGAATTGAAGCAGACATGTTGAAATGAGGAAGGAGTGGGTTGGCGGAAATAGGGCTCATAACGACCGATATAGCCGCCGGAAAAATTCACTTAAAATCGGCGGTAATTTTGCCGGTAACGATGTCGAACATATCAATTACTAGCGGAATTTCCAGCGTCGGTTGGGTCCGCTAGAAATTATGACGCTCGAACTGTTGGTTTATTTCGGCGGTCAATCCGTCGGGTTAACTGCCGGAATTTCTGGTGGTCCTAGAGTCGACTAAAATTCCACCAATTTTTGATGAATTTCATGTAGTGTATCTTTTATTTTGTTGAAGAGATAATTCAAAAATCAGTCATAATATTTGGTTTATGCATTTTTATTATTTTCTATTTACTATTTTTACTTCCAACATGCATTAGTCAACTTTAGAGTCTAAAGGTTTTCATTTGAGTAGAGCTAAAACCGAATGCATGTAGTATAATTTTAGTAGATGGGATTGTGACATTGGGTGATCAAGTCATAAAAAAGAGTGCACGTTTTAGATATCTCGGGTCTACTGTTCAAAACGACGGTGAAATAGAAGAATTCAAGTTAGATGGTTGAAATGGAGGAATGCATCAGGCCTATTTTTTGATAGAAAAGTATTCCTCAAACTTAAGGGAAAGTTTTATAAGATGATGGCGAGACCTATAATGTTTTATGGCACAAAATGTTGGCCATTAAAAGAGAAGCATAAAATTAAGTTATGTGTTGCAGAGATGCTCAAGTGGATGATTGGCTTTGCACTTAGAGACAAAATGTAAAACAAATATATACGATAAAAGGTTAGAGTAGCTCTAGTGGAAGATAAGATTATAGAGAATCGTCTTAGATGGTTTGCTCACATAAAATGTTGGCCTTTCAATGACCCGGTTAGGAGAGTAGATGTATTAGAGCTGGCTTATGTTAAGAAAGATAAAGATAGATGTAAAATAACATTGTTGGAAAGTGTTAAAAATTCCTTTTTTTAAGATTTAATTGAGGAATTGAGTTTTAATAGCACATATTGGAGAAAAATGATTCATGTAGGCGACCACAAGTGGGATAAAGGCTGGTTGTTGTTGTAGTATTTACTTTTATTTTTATTTAAAATAAAAAAAATCTTTTTTGGGTTATTACAAAACAAGCCTAATGTTTAGGAGAGGGAGGAAATGATTATCAGATCGATGTCAAAAGAAAGCCTTAATTTTATTGCATGATCAACTAGTTGAATTACAGCCAAAGTTTATAATAGTAGTCATAAATTTCTGAATTTTCTTACCCTACTAAATTAGAACAATGAAAGCATATCCAAAATGTCAAATGATCATTTTAACTTCATAATTGACAGAATGACAAATATAGACATGATTTTAAAATAATGACAAGACTCATTATTTTGGCACTAATAAGAAAAAATAGTGACAACTAGACACAAGTATCATACACTTCGCCAACGAAAATAGAGTCAGTTGGCTAACCATTTAAGCTTTAATATACATTATTTTTAAACATAGTTTCACGTAATGCAGATCTTTATCTCTAAGGTAGTTATCTGAAACCTTTATATTTCCGGTAATTACAAGGATCATCTTTTAACGTCTCAAATATTAATGAGTTTTTCAGGCACATTAATTTTTCATTATAAGTCATTCTTTACTCGACAAGGTGTCCGTTTACCCATAAAATCCATATGAAGCAACCTAAGATGTCTATTATTACAATGTCATGTGTTTTCTTAGTCTAAAGATCTCTAGGATCTTGCTTTTAACTGTTCATTGTTATTGAAAACATCTGAATTGGAACTAATCGTGCCTTTTTTTTTTGTCAGGCTGGAAGGGACCTTAGGTTTCTGAGTTTATCTATGACTGGTTGTTTCTGTTTCGGTGGCCTTTTGGTACTGGTAAGATGTAATTTAGCAAATTACTTGTTATTTCGAAATATATAAACTAATCATGTCCACATGATAATTGAATCTACAGGTTTTCATTTATCTGTGTTCTCTTCTATAGTCATAGGCTTATGTTTTTCCTGTTGTATTAGTTTCTCAGTCTCTATTCTCATGGTTCCAACTATGTGCATAGTTAGTTACAAACTATGATGCACCGACACGGACATGGCGACACGGACACGACAAGACACGGATACGGGACACGACATTTTTTAAAAATATAGGACATGGGTTCGGCGTGGACACGACATAATAATTTTTTAATATGATATATAGAAATTAAGGTAACATTATATTAAAAATGACAAGCAATAATAAATCAATTTCATGATAGTTTGTTTAGCTTATAACATAAAGATGTTTAGTACAAAATGTCTAGTACAACCACAAAAATATAAGCAAAAAATTATTTAGTACAATATAAAGGTCCAACTACTCAATAGAGGGAGTAATAGAATTAGATTCAGAGGTTGGTCTTTGGCCTTCAATATCATCATCATTGAATATCATTGCTTTCAACTCTTGTTCATCTAAAGAAAGATTTGCAACCTCCAATAATCCCATATCATCAAGGCATTGGAACCCATCTCCAGCAACATCCCACATCTTTTTATCACATGTCATATAAAGTGGGATTTTCTTGATAGAAGACTGAAGATTTGTATGCACATAAACTAGATCTTCAGCTCGTTGTAGAGTTATTTTATTCCTCTTCATTGATTGAATAAATTAGTATGTGCTCCAATTTTTCTCACAACAGGAATAGGATGATACTTGACCAAGAAGTTTTATTTCTATTGTTTGAAGAACAGGTGCCGAAGCTATATGAATTAAGCACAACATTTTTGGATCCATCCTCCATCTATCAACCAAATATTCTTGATCACCAAAATCCTTTAAATATCCAAAGAACTTTATATTATTTTTTCTTCTCTCATTATCATTTGGAAAATATCGTTTTAGCATATCTTTCTCATATTTGAAACTTCTAAATCTTTTTGTGGTGAGACACATTGAGGGTCTTCTAGAAGTCATTCTTTACTTGAATACCTTCAAATAATACAAAGCATATAAAATTATATGTTTATTAACCATGAAATTTAAATTAATTTAAAAGATGAATACAAATGTATATTGGATTTAATGATTGAGCTAAACAATGCAGAGGTGCGTTGCTTTTGCTCCACCTATCTTCAAGAATGGTATAGACAACACTCCAAAAACTTTAGTCTTCTTCATATGACTTTCTTTTATGTCTGTATATAATTTCCTTAACTTCTGCTAACATAGAGTCCCACATCTCATAAATCAAATGTAGGCATGATTTATTTAATATATCATAGATAGGATCAGTGAAAGCCAAAATATAGTCTGCATTATCCCACCACAAATTATCTAAGATCTTTTTTTTAACATACATTGCCTTCCCAACATCATCTTCTAGATAGCAAAACCACTTCTCACTAATCACCATAGAGTGAACAGCATTTTTAATTTGTTTGAATCTTCTCAACATGATTATTACAGAGGCAAAATAAGTTTCAGCAACAACTAACATTCTCAAGTGGGAGAAATCATTAAACATTGAAAGTCTCATTGAATGGTTCATAATAAAATTTCTGATCAGAACATCATCATCTGCAACAACTGTTATCCAATGACATTCAGTATAGATGATTTCATTTGCCTCTATATTCTTTACTGCATAAATATTTTTTGTGCAATATTTAAAGTGTGCACAATACAAGGTTTTCAAAATATATGGGGATAAGTTTGCTCAGCCAACAATCTTGCAGCTCTGCTTACTGGTGTATCATCTGTAATAACCTGCACAATATTTGAAAGCTCAATCATGACTATCACCTCTTTAATCAAATTGACAATAAAATATTTATCCTTATATTCTCCTTCATAATTCACAGCTTTAATAAACATAGGGTAATTCTCTGTAACAGCCATAAAATTAATGAGTGGTCTTCTTTGAGGATACGTCCAACCATCACACACCAAACTAACACCTTTTTCTTTCCGCACTCATTTTGTTGGTTCAAGCAATATCTCAATGTGTGCTCTTTCCATTTCCAATAATTTCGATTTTAATGCATTGTAACCAGGTGGAATATATTCTGCAAGGTTGTTATTACACGCAAAACTAAATGCATTTTTATTGTAAGGATTTCTTGCAAGGTGGTTTAAAATTGCGTAAATAAGCCTCGAGGCGGTTTTTGTCCGTGAGGCGAGGCGTAAGCCTCGAGGCGGTTTGAGGCGTAAGCCTCACGGACACAGAATTGCATAAATTAAAAATTAAGGGTTTTAGCAGGAAAATAATAGCAATATTCTATCTTACAATAAAAACATCTAAATAATATATGAAAATAGTAGAAAGTAAGAAAGTAGATGCAATAAAATCATGTCCCAAAGTACAAAATCATAAAATATGAAAATATTAGTTTAACAAAACTCACAAAGTACAAAGAACATATAACAAATAAAATGCAATCATATCCCATCACTAAGTGGGTCTTCAAGGGAATCTTCTTCTCCAATTGTATCTATGAATGTCATTTCATCATCATTTTCAATATGACTCACTTTTCTCTTCCCTGTTCAATAAGAGAAAAGATCATTATCATGTTAATTGCTCACTTGACATAAATAATTAAATATAATGCTACAGCATATAAGAAGTTGTGGAATACCTTTACTTGATTGTTGTGCTGTAGAGTTAGTGGATGTGTGTGGTGTAGTTTTAGTGGATGTGCGCACTTGATCTGCTTCGCTCCTCAAGACATCCACACTTAGATCTTCTAGCTGTAAGTCTGATAATGGCAAATCTGTCTCATCATCTATGAACCACTCATTATCAGATGACACATCATCACACACCAACGGGTTCTCATCATCCTTCAACCCCTTATTCCTCAACCTCCTCTCTCTTAACCTCTTGTTGTGCATAATATATACGAGAGAATTCATTCTGAGTGTTGATAGCTGATTTTTTCTCTTTGTTTGCACTTGATTATATGTACTCCAATTTTGCTCACACCTAAAAGAAGAGCAAGTGAGGCCAAACACTCTTACAGCAAAACTCTGTAACTCAGGGGTGGAATCACCAAATTGGATCCACCATTCAACTGTTTTCAAGAAAAAATATAATCAGAACTGAATAAAGTGTCTTCATTTACCAAAATAACTATACTTGGAGAACGTTTGGAAATGGTTGTTTTTGCTGCATCCAAAAAAAAAAACCCTCTTTATTCCGGAATATAACAAGTTGTAAATCTGCAAGCTCCCTATCTGCCTGCTCCGGTATGCGTATTATTCAAGTGAGTACTATGTGCATTCCATATGCGTATTTTATGCGTTCGCTATGCGTATTATTCAAAAACGTTAAAAAAATAGAATTGAAAAATTTATATGCGTATTTTATGCGAGCGTTATGCGTATTTGTGCGTGCGTTATGCGTATTTGTTGCGTTCGTTATGCGTATTTGGTGCGTGCGTTATGCGTATTATTTAAAAACGTTTAAAAAACACAGAATTGAAAAATATATTCTTCAGAAATAAACATTTATTCCCAGAAATTGTTTAAACATTTATACACAGAAAGTCAGAAACATTTATACATAGAAATATTTATACACAGAATGAAAAACTGCCATTTTTTCAATGTTTTACAAAATATTTCATATGCAAATTATGCCCTATAATTTGGCATGTCTGCTTGCCAATTTATACTATCAGTCCAATGAGTGTTGCTTTCAAGACATATTCTTTCCATATATTTACAGACATACATCCCGCAATCTATAGAGTTCTCCTGTTGTGGTACACCTTCAATGGTAGAAAGCTTTTATTTTCTGATATTACTTTTAAAAGCTCCTTTCGTGTCAGAGTATATGGCTTTAAGCTGAAAAATACGTAGATCAAGGATTAGTTATGTAATTTTTTTAAAAATTGAAGAGTTCATGTTCATCTAACACTTACGATTTTTAGAACAACAAGCCTATGCTCTTTGACACGGTTTGGCATGGGCAAGGAGTCATAAAATTTTCACTTTTGCTCTTTCAGCAAACCAACCAGAAGGGTAATGTGCGAGGATTCAATGATTGGCTGTAATAAAATGTTGTTTGAAGAAACAGAAAGCTCGGTTATATGGTCGATTTACAATTTGGACAATTTTTCCTTGGCTTTGTTATTCTGCAAGTGCAAGTAGTAAATGTAAGTTACAAATCCAATAGTTAAACTGATTAATTAAATACTAAGTTATTAACCCAATAGATTGGAGAGATGTATAGAAATTTATGGTACTTGTCAGGCATAAGTTCACACTTCTCATCTAAAAAAAGGGCAAAAAGATCTACATGTTCATTGCCTAAATAACTGTCGCTTAATAAGTCCTCAATATCAGATCTGGAAATCAGAATGTTATTAACAAATAAGATACTATCGTCCCTGCAAAAAAAGTATCATAAGCATAAAATACGCATAACATACGCGTTTAATAAGCATACTATAAGCATAAGTAACGCTTATCATACGCATAACTAACGCATGCAATACGCGAAATATTTAAACATAAATAAAGTTGCAATTTTTTTACCTTCGATTAAACTTTCTCAAACTTTCTTGCACAAAATTTCTCGTCTCAGGACTCAAACTCAGAACACCTTTGTAATTTTCTATTTCACTTGCATAGTCATAAGTTACAGGATTTATAGGAATCTCATCTACTGCTATTGGTTCAGTTGGATTTGTATATGGAATAAGTTGCATTTCTCCTGGGATTGGCTGATTTTGTGGGATTGGGTTATTGGGGTTGTGGGGAGGGTTATCTGATTTATGTTTCTTATTGGAAGAAGAAGAGTAGCTTACAGATCTTTTCTCAGGAAGTATTTTGCTCTGATCAATGTATATATTGAGCTTGATCTCGATAACTTCAACTCTTTCAGT